TCCCGCTCAGCAGCTGCATTTCCTTTCTTTCTATGCAAGAGTGACTGTGGCCCAGATAAACACTCCTTGATCCAACCAGAAAGGTATAACGATCGACACAAGGGGGTTTTCTGGAATTTCTGGGTAATTTCGGTGTGGATTTGCCCTTGCCCTGGCTCTGTGTACAATGGTGTCGTGGTTTTAAAGCATTAGTTAAAAAATCACTATAAAATTTACTAATTTCTTGTTGGGAGATATGGATTAGAATTAGGTCAAATAGGCTTAAAATTTAAATAGGAATAAAATAAGTTTATTAACAAAACTGCAAGAGTAAGAAGCCAGAATAAAACCTCCAGAAACCCTTTTTTTCTCCATACCCAATAATTTTTTTGCTCACATGACAACATAGAAACAAAAAAATCCTTGTGATTAAGACAGTCCCAACTTTGCTATAGTCTTTTCAGCAGTCTTTGCAGAGAAATAGAAGTCCTCTTTTGTTAATCTATGGAGGTTTTGACAAGCAAACCATTGTCTCATGGTTTTCTATTTCTCTGATGCTGCCGCCCAGAAAACTCTGCTATCAATTCTTTCCTCCCATTTCACACCACTCTGAGGTGTGTTCCTGGGCCATAGGTCAAGGGTTGTCATTTGAAGGATGAGCTATTCAAAGGCAAATGTTCTTTTCATCTGTCTCTATGAGCATCTCTGGAAACAGAAGTTTTCTCTTTGCCTCTGAAGGGCCACAAATATTCAACAACTTTCACTTCTCCTTTTTTGTTCCATCATCTCATAAGATCACAACTACTTCACCATTTACTCAGCTTTATTAATTAATTATTTTTGCTCAGATCCACACTTTGAAGTACTCCATTTCCCCCAACATACTGTTTCATGAATTAAAGGAGTTTTTTCAGAACATTATTGTCCATCTCCATAGTTTTAGCAAAAGAATATTTCAGCTTATTAATGCACCTCCTTATTTCTCTCCCCATCTGAAGCTTAATTCCTTTCTTCACTGTCTTTGATAGTTTATGTTGTCTCTTTACATGTTGATCACCCTCTCTCTTTCCCTTTCTCTGGAAAAATGGGATTAATCTGCAAGTCTCATCTGGGTAGTGAAAAAGTTAAAATCTTGCCCAGGCCTTGTGGATGGTCTGGTGATCTCTGCTGGAGCAGTGGCTGGAGTTTTCTGGGATGGAAGGTTTTTCATGGCTCCTCTGGGGGAGTGTGGCCTCTGTCTCAGCACACCACAGGCCAATAACTTTCCCTCCCCTTACTCAGCAGTCTCTGGTGAAACTCAGCAGCGGCAGAAACTGCAGCCGAGCCAGGGACCAGCCTGGCCCAGCAGCCCAGCTGTACAAGGCCCAGCGAGCCCTCTGAGAAGGGGCTCCTGTCACTTCACAGTCTCCATCCTCCCCGGGACCTGCAGAACTCCAGCCAGCCCTGCTCCCCCCGCTGCAGCCTTGTCCAGCCTGGGGGAAGGAGGCTGAACCAGAGCCCTGTTACCTCTTCAAAAGTCAGAAACCAAAGAGAGCAAGAAATTCCTGGGCTTAGGTCTTAAGGTGGCGTTCACAGGTTGATCTCACTTTTCAATGGCCAAAATTACTGTCAATTTTCAGAAATGGCTAGTTATTAGCCAGGAGAAAAACTCCCACCAGCCTCCAGCAGCCTTAACTTCCTGAGGTGTTTCCCTTTGTTTCTTAAATGCCAATCCATCACAAATGGTCATAAGCTGAAATCTGTAGGTTGAAGCTTGCAAGCGCTTAGGAATGATTTAGTGGCAGGGAACATTTGTGTGCAAGATGAAATCCTGAGGTATCAATTAATCAGCTGGTTTTATTGTGGTAGGACTTGAGATTTTGGGTCAGCAGGCTGATGGCAGAGCCCTTGATTGTCATAGTGAGGTGTGAACCCCAGACAGGATCCAGCACTCAGATCAATCTTTTCTTGAGTGTGGTGTGTTTTTTTCATCCCTTTTCTCCTGCTCTTAGCCATTGCTAGAATGTTGCAGTGAAAATAGAAGAAGCAGTTGTTCACTCATAACATGTTCTGTTTTGTTTTGTTTTTTCTGCAAGGCTGGGCAAGGTCGATGTCAATACAAATTCATTCACATCCGAGGAGCTCAAAAAGGCCTTGGCTAAAATGAAGGAAAGTGAGAAGGCAGAAAGGAAGGTGAGTTTCCTGTTCCTAAAGCAATGTATTGAGCAGGGATGTGATGACACCCTGTCGAACACTGCAGAAATTCAACAGTTAAAATGATTGCTTGGAAACACTGTGCAAACTAATTTTGTGGTGAATATGGGCCTAAATTACCTTTGCTAGCCCATTAGTGATACTGTTCCCTGGCTTCTCTGTATGAGTCTATGATTCTGTGAATGGTTTCAGTTAGAAAGGACCTTAAAGATGATCCAGTGCCTCCACTATCTTCCAGGCTGCTCCAAATCCCAATCAAGCTAGCCTTGGACAATTCCAGGGATCCTGGGGTAGCCACAGCTGCTCTGAACAATGTAATTTATCTGTTCCACTGCTGCTCAATTCACAAAAATGTCTGCAGTCCCCAAGGGGGACTGGATTGCAGCTGATGGTATTTACAGAGGGAGTTACTTTCCCTCTCACCACCCTCCTTGCTTTCTGCTTCCAGCCTCGTACCCTGCATAGCAAAACTCAAATGGCCATGGTGAAGCAGGGGCTGAAGTTTCCTTACACAAGCTCTGAGTTGTCCATTTAGTTACAAACATTCCAGAACCCGAAGTAAATAGCTGGGATGATGTGTGACTCATCAGGTGCATCACAGCCTCTTTTCCTTCTCCCCCTCAGCAGCTTTTCCTTAACCCTCGCTCCTCCTGCTGCCTTGGTGTTGACTCACTCCAACGAAAACTGAAAGAGGAGTTAAGGCTCTAAAGTTCTGGTGTCACAGAAAGGTTTTTTCTCCCCTTGTGTGGCAGCAGGGCATGATTTCATTTGCTGGGAGATTATTTCCATAGCAGTGTTGCTGATTGATTGCAGGGCTGCTGGAAAGGGCTGCTGGAAATGGGGATCATTGAAATGCAGAAATTAGTGATTTCACTCTATTAGGTGAAAATAAGCCATATTTTAAAACCCCCTGTTAGAATAGCTTTTGTCCCAGCAACTGGGCTAAAAGCAGCCACATCTAATGGACCTAAAGTATTCCATTTGCAGTCACTCCTGTGGAGAGCAAATCCATCCTTGATGGCTCTGTGTCAGAGGAAATGGAGTTACACTGAGCCCCTCTGTGCTCCAGAGAGGGGTACTGGGGGTGCTGGGGGTGGACTTGGATGGCATTAATTACCAGTGGTAATTAATCATTCCATTGACACAGCTTTCACCTCCATTGCTCACTTGGTTTTCCCCTGGTGGCTTCAGCTCTTGGCTTCTGTTCCCTCATGGGGAGCAGGATGTGCAAACCCTTCAGCTGGGGCTTGCTCTGCATGCAGACACATCTTGGTATTTTTGACAAATCCCTTTCAGAAGGGGCTTTCTGCTTTTCTGCTGTCCTTGGGGCAGCCCAGCTCCAGCCTGGCCTCTCTGCTGCTGCTGTCCCCTGCAGCAGCAGGCTGTGTCCCCAGTGCCACCAGTGCTGATGTTCCTGCACCTCTGGGGCTCGCTGAGACCTCCGACAGATCCTTTCCTCCTCACCACATGTTTTGTGTCAGCTCTTGGTTCAGGGCAGCCCTTGGGGTGCTGTTACTAGCCAGAGGGAGATGAGCCGTGCTCAGGACAGGCTGCCTGCTGGCCAGGCCCCGTGGCACAGCACTTCACTCCCCCAGCTTGTCACTGCTCCTCCTGCTTCCCTTTCTGACAGCTTCTCTCCCCACACCTTTCCCTGGGAGACAGAGCATCTTTGTCTGTGTCCGAGATCTCCTTAGAGCTGCTGGGCACTTTGGGCTGGATGGGACCCCTGGAGCTCTCCAGCCTCATGTCTGGTTCCAGAGAGGTTCAGCTGTAAGATCAGGGAGCTGGCTCAGGGCTTTTTGCAGGCAGATTTTGAGAACATCCACTTGCAGGCAAACAGAACAGCAGCGCTGCTGCCTGCAGGCTTGGTGTTGAGCTGGGAGAAAATGGGATGCAGAAATGGTGCATAAATGGTGTAGAGATGTAGAAATAGTGTACAAATGGTGTAGAGATGTAGAAGTGGTGTACAAATGGTGTAGAGATGTAGAAATGCTGTACAAATGGTGTAGAGATGTAGAAATAGTGTACAAATGGTGTAGAGATGTAGAGTGGTGTATAAATGGTGTAGAGATGTAGAGTGGTGTATAAATGGTGTAGAGATGTAGAGTGGTGTATAAATGGTGTAGAGATGTAAAAGTGGTGTATAAAGCCCTGCTGCTCACTCGTACTGTGGCTATCTCACAGGTAACTGGGTTCCAGGGCTGCTCAGAAGGACCCTCCAACCCTGCCCCTGCACCTCTGATGCACAGCAATAAATCCATTGGCACAGCCAGCCAGGTTCCCTTTGTAAATGTTCCTTTCTGTGTCTCTTGTCTCTCTTCATCTCCTGTTGTCACATCTGGTTTCCTCCTTCTGTTTCCAAGGCCCGAGAGGAAGAGGTGAGGAAGAAGTTCCGGCCCATAGAGCAGCTGAAGGAGGAGTTTGAAAAGCTGAACATGAAGATAGAAACAGATTATGAAATTATGGTTAAATTAATCAGCAAATTCAACAGCTCTGCCTCCACGCTGGATGAAAAAGTAGCGGCGCTTTATGATCTCGAATATTATGTTCACCAGGTAACAAGAATGCCTCAGTAACTACCGTGTAAAATCCAGGGGATGCAGTGTCATAAATGGGGTTTTATTTTCCTTATCGGTATCAGGTAATACAAATTGCTTAATTACCATAATCCTGGGACAATAACAGACAGCAGAGGACTAGTGCAGGCTCATTTTATATCCAGGTTGGAATTAATCGTCGCTTGTGCCAGGAGCCAGCAGTATCCTAGCAGTTGCCTGATTTGTTGTCTGTTCTCAGGCTGGTTTTCTCATCCTCTCTTTTTCCTCTTTTACCTGCTTAATGTTACAAAGTGGGGTTTTAGCTGCCGTTTTTGGGTAAATAGAGTGGTGATTTAATAAGTAATTATTTTTTCTCTTCTTCCACGGAAAGCTGCCGTGGTTGAAGGTAGGTGCCCTTACATGAGTTCACAGAGAATATCTTTGTACCAGGGAAGGCGACAGCCACCCAAAAAGCCCCTATTTTGTCTTGGTGTGAGTAAGCAGTGGCATGTAGAGCCTTGCTGTGCTAATTAGCTCTCTTTGAGGGTGAACATATTTCCTGGCATCTCGCTTCCTCGGGTTTGTGCTCACACTTTTCCCCCTCCCTCTGATCTCTCTTGCTCTGCTTTCAGCTCACACATTCCTACCTCCCCTTGGATGCAGCTGCAGGCACAGAGCTCTGCTCCCCTGGGCTTGGTGCCTTGCTTGGTGCCACCCCTGGGAGGTAATCCAGCCTCTGCTCTGCCCTGTGGGAAGGGACTTGGCTTCTCCCTCCCCGGTGACTGGGAGAGCCTGGAGTGCACTGGGAGAGTTCCCAGAGGCACTTTGTCATTTCAGAGGGTGAGTGGGACAACTCTTGGGAGGTGCCAGTGCACGCCCTTTCACTGGAACAGCACTTGTTGGACCAAATGTGGTATTCTGGGGGCAGGTAGCTCAAGTGCTGCTGCTGTGAGAGGGAGTCCATGTGCCAGCTGATAGAACTGTTATTTCCAGGGCTCTTTGTCTCGAATTTTCACTCATTGTGGGCATGCAGAGGCTCCCTTGCTGTTTGTTCTCCCTGCTTTTGTGTCACTGACGGCATCTGTGTGACTCAGAGAATAACTGTGAACAATGGGCACCCAAAGAGCTTCATATTTGTACTCAGGGCTAATCTTGCCTGATTAAGGGTGCCAGAGCACCAGGCCAGCGTGCTAAAAAGCAGCCCCCAAACACCCTGGGATGCTTTGGATTCCAGCATAAGGGTCTGGCCTATTCCAGCAGAAAATCCCTGCAGCACAGGATGGGGCACGCAATTTCAGAATGTCAGAGGAGCAGGGACTGGAGCATCAAAGGGAAGCACATGCAGCATCAAAGGGGTCAGAGAGGGGGAATGGCAGGAGGCTGGCGGGAGCACAGAGGCTCTTTGTGCTCCCATCACAGCGCTGCTCTGTGCCCGCGCTGGCGGGGCAGATGGCTGGGCAGCACCTTCTCGTCAGGCAGGAAGCTGATAAGAAATATGACTTGTCTCTAAGCCAGCATGGCTTTTCCTCCTCTTTCTTCTTCCAGTCAGTTGAATGCGTCCAGAGCATTATCTCTGCTTGGGACTGACTTTAGCAGCACTGGCTTAATGTAATTACTGAACAGCAGCCAAAGGACGCTTGTGCCGCATAACCCTGGAAGGGCTGAGCTGTCAGGACTCCTCTGCAGCGAGTCCCAGTCGTGCCGTGGGAGCAGGGGATCCTTGCAGGTGTGGCTGGCCCAGGCCACGTGTGGAGCCACTCTGCTGGTGCCACCTTCCCCTGCCTCCACCAGAGCAGTGCCATGCCATGGCTTTTTGTTACTGTTCAGCCGTGCTGCTGCTGCCTCTGGGGTGCGGGATGCCCTGTGGAGTGGAAAATGCCATTCCCTGGAGGTTGTGCCAGCAAAGGCTGCTCCCTGCTCTGTGGCATGGCCACGAGTGGCCCAGAGCAGTGGGGTGTGGGGCAGCCCATGCCTCGGAGCATGCCGTGGGAGCCAGGGCCGGTGCCCAGCCCGGGGAGATGCTCTCTCCTGCTTTTGAAGAGTCAGCCCAAAGGCTCTGAGTTTGCTCAGCTTCTGGTTGCCAGCTCTGGTTTGCTTCTCCTCAGCCACGATTCAGCTTGGCGTGTTCGGGAGCCCATCTTGGAGAAGGAGCAGGAGGGTTTGGCTGGCTGGGTTATCTGTAACGCATAAAACCCAAATGCAAATGTGGAGAGGGCAGAGCGTAACTCATAAACAGCATTCACGGTGCTTGCACAGCAGTGTGTGGAGCCAAGACCCGTTCTCAGGCATTGCAGGCTCTTTCTCTCAATTATTTACTCTGCTTATCTTCCTCTCTCCTCTCCTCTGACATGCTACACCATCTCTCTGCTAATTTCCTCTCCATCGCCAGCGGTTGACATGCTGCTTTCCCTCGCTCTTGTTTTCTAACATTTTCTCTCTCACCTTCCCTCCCTATTTTCTTTCTCATCCAATTCAAACCTGCTCCCTGAATAACTGCTGTCATATTTGCTCTTCTCCCTTCCCTCCCCTCGCCTGCTTTGCCTGTGTACTTTACTCAAGAGCTCTTTTGATCTTTGGTTTTTCTTCTGCACTGATTTCAGTGGACTGAAGCGAGGTAGGAGCTGCTGCCTCACAGCAGCCGCTGCTCCCCAGAGAGGTTAATACCTTCAAGTTGTTAAGTTTGGGGATTTTGTTGGTTTTAAAACAGCGAATGAGGGAAGGAGCTCTCACGACAGACTCTGGTTAATAAAGATGAACACATCTTCAGAATAAGCTTTGCAGCACAATTTATATTCTGCAGTTGTGGTGTCTCACTGATGCTGGGGCAGCACAAAGGACTCTGGTGCTGCTGAGGTTACAGCAGTGACTGGTTTTACCACACCAGGTGCTGGATGCAAATTCCTGCCCATCCATACATTCCCTCTCGTGCAGAAGTCAACGTCCAATTCCAGCACTAAACCAATTTTTACAGAGGCTGAGTAATGAAAGGACCCACTGGCAGCTGAAATTGGGTTGCTGCGTAGATTTCTTTGTAGACAAAGATGGGTCTGCAGAAAACAGAGATCTGGCAGACCTGGTTTATAGGGACAGTTAAAAGAACAGCATCTGAAAGGATACAAAAGCTGCTGCAAATCCTGAATCAGGCCCAGCAGACCTGCAGAGAGCAGCTTTGCAGAGGGCCAGGTGGGTATTGTCCCACTGGGGAGCAGAGCTGAGCTGCAGCTCCCCAGGTCCTGCTTTGGTTGGTAACGACAGACCCGTAGGACACAAAGCTTCTTCCTTCTCCTGGGTACCTGAAATATCTGACTTAGGGCCAATTTTGATGAAGGTACATGGTTGAGATAAATATAACACTGAGCATGAAGTCAGTGACTAGAAGAGTGTCCCACATGCCCTGCACAGCTTGTGGTGTTTGTCCTGTCCCACCCCATTGGGGAGTCAGCTTGCTCTGCTGATAACTCATTTTTATATTCTGTTTCCGTCTGCCAACGATTGCTGTTGTCTCCCTGTCTTTCAGGGAGGAAAAATGTCGAATTTCTAAACCTGATTTTTCTGTGCAGGCAGTTCTGAGCATTCATCAGATCCCCTTTTAAACTGAAAAAAAAAAAATAAAAAAAAATAATTGAATACAAAAATGCATCGATTTGACTTTGGACTGAATTTTGTACTTGAAGTACTTTGTGCTGTTTCTCTAAATTTTGTCTGTGAGTACTCAGAGCCTTTTCTGATCTCCTCTCCAAGAGCACATGCCTGCTGGGACTGTGCCTGGCTAGCCCCTGATCCACTTAGGGCCAGAAGCTGATGAATCCCCACTAATGTGTAAACTTTTCCCTACTGGCAGTTAATCCATTATAGTTTGCTTAGAAAAATCATGGTGGGGATGCTCCCTCGGGAAGGTCCTGGCTGAGCCCTCCATGCAGGGACTGGCTTTTTCTTTCCTTGTCCATGGGAAGTTGTTGATGGAACTCATGGAGAGCTCCCAGAAGTGCCCATGCTCCTCACTCTGGTGCCACCTGTGCGCCCTATTGGTGCTGACAGCCTCCCAAACATCCTTGACTCCTGGTGCTACAATTACAGCATCAATTCATCGTCTGCATTTGCAAAACATGCAATTCCCCGGCTCCCCAGGAAAGGCCTGCTCAGGGGAGAGCAAAGAGCTGGAGAATATTTTGACATCAGCAGATGTACCGAGTTTTTGACACCACCTGAATTACTGAAATACGTGTCAAGAGCAGTTTTGATAGCTATAATCAAAGTATTTGTGTTTCCAGCCATGCTTTCTGTGTGTGTGCCTGTGCTGCTGGGCAGGACCGTGCAGAGTTCAGCCACAGCCACTCCCTCCGAATTTTAAATTCCTTTCAAAACCCCATGCTGGTTAGAGTGGGAGAGAGGGGATGCTGTGGGTGTGAAGGGAGGTGTTCTCCAGGGGCTGAGGGTTTGTGCTGATGGGAACTGCTCTTTCCCAGGTGGACAATGCCAAGGATTTCCTGTCCATGGGCGGGCTCCGGCTGCTGATGGAGGGGCTGAACAGCAGCGAGGCCTCGCTGAAGGAACACGCTGCGTTCGTCCTGGGAGCTGCCCTGTCCAGGTGAGACCTGCCCTCAGCTGGGCTCCATGCCTCTCTTCGCCTCTCTTGGCTCATTTCTGACAGCTGTGTTGTGACACGCCACAAAATTGTCTTGTTCCCTTGCCACACCCATTCCCCTTCTCCTCAGTGTGTCCTCATCATGCTCATTGGATGTGTCCAGAAGTAATGTGGTGTCAAATCTGTGATTGTTGCTTGATTTCCTTGGGCTCCCTGTTCACACAAAGTCCAAGGGGGGAATAATTCTCCTTCTCTCCCCTTGACAGACCTGTCTGGGGGAAGATGTGCAGGAGGGTAAAGTTACAAGCACCCCAGTGAACACCTCTGTCCTTCCTCTTCCTTGCTCCTGGGCTGCTTCAGGATGGCAAAGTGCTGATTTGAGCAGCTCCCGTGGTCTCTGGAGTAGGATTTGGGCCCCATGGACACGTGCCTCTGCCATCAAAGGGGTGTTGAGTAGATGTGGTGTCAGGAATAGGGTGAACAGCCAGAATCCAGAGGAGACTGAGCTGAAGGATGTTTCACCTGCTCTGCCTCATGCTCAGGCATCACGTGTAGTGCTGCAGGAGGTGTCCTGTGGACTCCATGGGCTTTCTTGGTGCCCCCTTTTTGATTTATGGGGTCTGGGGCTTTGCAGGGGGTGTGCTGCACATTCAGAGGTGCAGAGGCTTTAGAAATGCATTGGATGGACTCAAACTTGAGGATCAGAAGTGCAGAGTGAAAATTGAAGGTCAGGACTGCTTTATCTGCATATTTCTACACCTAAAAATACAGTCACCTTCTCCAGCATCATGAATTATTTATGCCTTAGTCTAGCACATGGTCCACAGACCTGCATTTATTCAGCAGTCTCGTATGAAATGCAGTTGGCCCTCAGCATCAGTGGAGTGAGGGGGCCTCGTGGACAGGAGCAGGTACCCAGATTTATACCAGGAAAGGATCCAGCTTCTAGTCTGAAACAGAGCCTGGCTTAGTGATGACAGGAAGATGCATCAGAAACAACACCTGCTCTTCATATTCTGGTGTGTCTCAGTCTTTGAAACAATACTGGAGTAGTTTGCTCAGGTTCTTTATGTAGATTCTTTATCCACACAGAGAAGATCACGCAGAGGGTCTGGAAACATTTGCAGGTAACTTGTGAAATGACAGGGGCTGATAAAGAGCTTCTCTCCAGATGTACCTGGCATGACATGGCCAAGACTCCAAAAATTCATTGTCTCGTGGTACTTGACAATGTAGCAGTGGCCACGAGAGTGACACTTTTGTGTAGTATTTCTCACTCAAGTGCTAAAAACTTCTTTGGAGAGAATCTCTCATCTGATATGACAGCATTAAACTACTGCTTTGCAAACTTGTGGACCTTTTTTTCTTTGAAGGACATTCTGGCAGATGGTAATTTGGAGTGGTTTGGATGATACATTGTCTGAGAGCTCCATTCCAAAGTGTGAGGGATATTATGCCTTGGTTTGAGTTTGCTTTTTCTCCCCTTGCTGTGCTTAAGCTTTCTCAGTAGACACCTACATGCCAACTTGTCTGCTGTGTGCTCACTGCTTAATTCGTTTGTTCATACATTTTCTCAGCTTACTCCATGCTCTAGTTAAACTGTTGGGGGCATTTCAGGTACTTCACACAGCATTTTGTGTTTTTCTGAGGGCTTGTTGTTTATTTCCTTCTCTCACAGTTGTTCCTGGGAGGCTCAGAGGTGGTAGGGCTTTCCAGCAACCTCCCAGAGGAGTCACAGCTCGCTGGGCTGCAGGGACATGATCTGCTCTGTGCTTGTGTGCCTGGGGCTGGTGTCAGACCCTGTGCTGGATGCTGAGCTGGGGAAGAGGCAATGGTCTGCTGCTCACCAAATGGGTCTGTGGCCACCTCCCAGGTCTCTCCAGCCAGGCTGGCTCAGGCTTGCAGTTTCAACCCAGGCAAACATTCCCAGAGGGAAATCAGGGCATGATGATAGCAGCTCCAGAGCCTGGCATGGGAGGTCAGTAATCCTGGCACAGCTCAGTCTGGAAGGGGGAGTTTGGCGTTGTCTGTAGACAAGTGTTTAACACAAGAGGAGCCCACTGGACACAGAGCGGTGCCTGGGTCACATCCAGAACTTTTCAACCCTCAGACATACCCAGATCTTCTCCAGATTTGCATTGTCCTTAACTCTGCTCAGGTAAGGAAGCAGGTAAGGGATGGAAGAAGCAGCTGCAGCACCCAGGTCCTGCATGCACGTGGTCCTGCCAGGACCTGGCTCAGAGCTCTGGCTGTACTGGAAGCCCGTTGGAATGAAAGGGTTTTCCAGGGGATCAGCTTCTTGAGCCAGCAGGCCAGGGGGCTGGCCAAGACTCAGATCAGCAAAGGCAGGAGGAGGAGAAGGTACAGCAGGGCCAGCTCAGGATTTCTCCTTCCTCATATTGCTCCTGTTTATTTGGCTTACAGCAGACTTGAAAAGCAGCCACAGCACAGCATGATCTGGGGCACAGGGCCCTGGGGTCCAGCTGCCAGGATCTGACCTCTTAGCATCCATCTGCCACAGGAGAGGCAGATTTCTTCACCTGACAGGGAGGAAATCAAGGTTTCATCTCATGTTTCTCTTATATGTCCTTCACTTCAGGCATTTGGGTTTTAATTGCTGAGTCTGTGACCAAATCAAACATTGTTCCATCTGGTGGAGTTCTCTGAGCAGTGCCCTTATTGCAAGTCTAAAACCTCATCACACTCTTACTGTTTTTAAGCCTTTAACAAAATGTTTTTCCATTCAGCAGTTTGCAAAAGTAAACTTCATTTGAACAATCCTCAAGTGCTCTGATTGCAAATAAAAGTTAAATGCACTAACAAAAATAATTGCTAGGCATGTGGGGTTGTACATTTAGGTATCCATAATTCACTAACAGTATATGCCAATACACAGCATTATCTGGATTTCCAGTGATTGCATTAGCATAAAAGCATGTTAGCATTTATCCTGTGGTACTAACATTTAAATATATATAAGTATGAAATATTAAGATCCAGCATTTTGGAGGCAAGTGAAACTACTGTCTGTAAAATGTTCCTGCATATTTTGAAGGCACACTCCAGTATCTTCGCATGACAATCAGCATTCGCACCATTGGGTCCAAACATTACAAAAATGTCAATGTTTTATGCAAAGAGGAGCTATATTAAGCTAAAAAAGATTGCTGATGAGAGAAGTGTCTTCTGATGTCCTCTGAGCTATTTACAGGCAGCATCTCCCTTTGTTGGTGGCACAGCCAGGCCTCCGTGCAGTCTCTATCTCCATGTTTCACAAGACTGGAAATGTTAGCCAGAAGGGATTATGCTTGAGATTAAAACCTCCATTTTTGAAAACTTTACCTAAAGGAAACGCTTTTCCACACCAATAATTTGGGCATTTTAGTATTTTGTAATAAAAGGATTTTTGTAATCCGTTTAGAAGGGGAATAATAATTTATGTTGAATGCCTTCTTGAAGCTTTATCCCAAAGGCTCCCCATGCGCTTAGGGGTGAGTTGGAGGTGAGGATGGAGAGAAGTTAAGCTGCAAAAGGAAGCAGTTTGTATTTCATGGGGACAAGGCAGAAGGCTCAGAAGGTGAGATTTTGGCCTGGCCAAAGTGGGGAACTGGGAGGGCAGCTGCTTGTGCAGCTGCAGTGAGAGACTCGTGGCATTTTGGCCAGACCTTTAAAAACCCCTATGCTGGGGTGGCCAGGGACAAGGATGTCACACTGATGGTCCAAGCTGACATTTGCCATGTGTCCTAGAAGGGACAGTCCCAGCACAGCCTCTGCCCCAGCACTGCTGGGCTCTCACTCTGCCCTTTTGGCCCTGAGTGCTAAAATAACCCCCCAGGACTTGGTGACAGCTTGGGAGTAAACTCATCACAGGTGATAACTGAAGCACGATCCTGTAGCAACACCCAAGAGTTTTCCATGGATTGTCTTAGCTGTTTCCCAGAGATTAAACCCCTTAAAGGATGACTATCCTGAATATCCCATCCACTGTTATTTGCATTACCAGCTCCGAGGCTGGTCCAGAGCTTGCCCCACTTTGGTGAAACCAAGAGAGGCACAAGACATGTGTTTGCTTCTCAAGAGAAGCCTCAGAGGAGCTCCCTGAGTGATGGGCTCTGTTCTTCCTGCTGTGCTGGGGTGTCCAACAGGGCTCAGCCTCGTGGAGTCCACCTGCTTTTGGTTCTGCTTTTCCATTGTCTTTTCTGAGGGAAGAAGGATGTGGGAATGTTGTCTCTTGCTCTGTCCATCAGTCCCTTGGTGCTGTCCATGCTCCCAGAGCACAAGAGTTGCCTGCTCTGTTGGAGAAGCAGCAGCTCCTCCAGAACGCCTCTGTCAAGAGGAAAGAGCTTCCACCAGATTTAAGGGGTTTGAGTTAGGTCCAGCTGTGCACTGAAACTGGTTGGTGCTCACTGGTGTTAAATAACACAGAGGCCCAAGCAATAAACCCAGGAAAAGTAAAATTAAAGACCTTGCTTCGATGCTGTCTTGTAAGGACATAAGAATTTCTGTGCAGAGAAATAAATCTGGTTAGCTTAACAAGCACTGTCCCTACCCATTTATTTCCAATCCATCTTCATCCCTCCCTCCTCCAGCTTCTCCTTTTACATTCTGCAGTATTTGCCCATCTCTTTATCCACTTTTCCTGATTTTTTCAGTGGCCCTGTTTGCCCACACCACGTGTTTGCCATCTCCCAGTTGCAGCTCCACTCCTTACTTATAATTTCTTGCTTTGTGGATTGTGTCTTCTATTTCTGTTTGAACTCCTGACTTGTGTGGAGTTATCAGCCTCACTGCACTTAATTTCAAATTAATTTGATTGGGTCACCTCGATTTTTTTCTGTAATGATAATGAACTCAACCTATTTAGCCTTTCCCCATTATGAATAACCTTAACAAAAACTGCAGTGCAGTATAAATGGGTGTTTCATCATTGTGGTTAATTACACAGAAGAATAAATCCCTAAACATTTTTCAGCCTCTGAAATCTAACAAGGAAGTGTAATTAA